ATTCCAGAACTTAATTTCTAACTTGTGCCCCTTCACTTTTCAAGCTTTTTCATGAATAATTTTACCACATCAACTTGTCAATTTTCTTCAAGAGGACTCATCTAACTTAAGAGTTGGCACTGTGTCCTCTTTCTCCAGTCACTGTTAAATGTATACTGTGGGAGGTAGAGCTTACCCACCTCCCATAGCATTATTGAAATTGCTCTGTAACAACTGTGGATTTTGGAGCAAGTTCACTTACAATGAAGAAAGTAAAGCTTCACAACTCAAATCTAACACTAAGTGCCAGAGAGAGGGAGTGATGAGCAATAGTGATGGCAGCAGTCATTGATCACAGAATACAGGAACATTCCGTTTCTGAGGCAGATGAAGGCCTCTTATCGTTACGGTCATTCTTGGTCAATCCAGAGAATCCTGGCTGGTTGGTAACTGGGAAATGGTGTGGGACAAGGACAAAATAAACTAGAAAATTACAAAAACTACTTTTGACAGCTAACAGTTTAACATTAATATACTGTAGATCTGGAATAAATATGTTACTCTACTTTTTTTCTGGTTACAGTGACCTTGGATTAATATCAACGCACTCTGCTTGAGGCATCTTGTCCCTGATCTTAATCCTTGGTCAATTTAACAAGCAACGTACATGAGGAACTCAGAACATAATTTACCATATAAGTAATTATATATAAAAATAGAGCATCTGTTACATCTATCTATTCCATACATGGGATAGGTTATTCCCTTGGAACGTGCACTGAAAGAAAATCAGACACGAGTTCAATTCAAATTATGTGCTTTGACCGCAGAAGTCTGCAGCCCATAGCAGTCCTGCCGGCAACAAGAAACGTCTGAAAGAGAAATAAAACTGGGTTGAATTGGACAACTGCTTTTATAGTACAAGCTGAGACTTATTTCAAAGATAATGCACTTTGGGGTTCAGAAAACATGCAGAGGCAACACTGGTGCAATTCAGAATTCACCTAAACCTCTTGTGTGCCCTCGCTTCCCAAAGTGTGACCATTATTCTTTTATCCAAAGATAGTTGCAAAGTGTTTCTATGTACCTGGCAGATTTATTCCAAGGAAGGGATGCCTCTTTCTTTAAAAAAAACGTGAACAAGCCCCACTTGAATAACTGAATAGTTTGAAATACAAATAGGCAGATTAACTCTTGTGTTGCATTGAAATAGATGATATTAATTGAACACTGAAACTAATGCACTGCTTGACAAAAAAAAGTAGATATGCAGAACATGCTGCAGTAAGCCAGATAGTTTAGTTAACCTGGTCAAATTTATATAAGTGGTGCTCTATAAGTGATATTCCATTACAAGCATGCAAATCAAAACCAACAGTGAAACCACGTTCTTTTCTGCTTCTGTGTGGACGTATATCACCCAGACCAGAGTAAAGAGTGCTAGATCTGCCTTTACTCATGAGAAAGATAATAAGCAACATCCAGCAGTGTCATTTGAGACCCGTGATCTTTGTTAAATATGGCCAGGATGTCAAAACTTACCACATATGAGGTCTGCTTTGTATGCAAGAGTGCGCCAGGTCATTTTATTTTCACAATCAAAAACTTATTGTTAGTGATTTTATATTACTGCTTAAACAAAATAATTATTGAGTGATATTTTTGGTGATTTCTTTGCATTTTGTGGATGTCAACACATTTTTCCACTTTCGTCATCAGCATCAAGCATTCTTAGATCCTGAATAGCTTGGGACACTTTTGGGGGGCAGGCAGCCATCCGTCTGACACAGGCATAAACCCAACACCATGCTTAAGAGTATCCAAACCAAGCTGAGAATTCTCTGCATCCCACCTACACATGGAAATTCCAGCGATAGATGGTTGGAATGGAGTGCACACATCCCAGAAGAGAAAGGGCTCATATCCAATAATTCCCAGACAATTTATCAAGGAATGCCATCAATACAGTAAGTAATGTCAGCTGTGTCTTAGACCAAGGTATGAGCAATTTTAAACAGATTCATATATTTTCCACTTTCTACCATGTCTGAATGTACCCTAATTGTTTTTTTCAAGCAAATACATTGAGTTGTTTAGTTATCATTAGTTGTAGATTGAATAATGTCATGTAACAAATGTCTGAATGCAGTGCATAATTAACCTTATCTAGGGGTGGTATGAATTATATTCAAAGATTACTTTAGACCAAGTGCAGATATACTGCAGTTAATCTAAGGCAATCCCTCCCATATAGTCTCCAATTGCTTAACAAAATTGTTATTATGAATCTTAAAAGAGCATTCATCTGAAGGATCTGTGCTGTTTCAACAGGAAAATTGCATAGGACTGGCACAAGTTCTCTAATAATTTTTCAGTATGTTTTGTACAATTTAAATTTGCTTAATTCTACAATGTTGAAGTACACATTCTCTGAGTGCCATCAATGAAGCTTCTATTCTGGTGGTCAAAAAGATTATCGAGTATAACAGAAATGGGAGGATGTGGGTTCATGCTTGCAATATTCCTGTGTGATAAATTCCTAGTGCCTTTTATTGTCACAGAGAAGAGTAAAGAAATCCCAAAGCCAGGTCACCCTCATGCAGAGCCAAGCAACTGACTAAAGAACAGCACTGGCAGACGTCAGTGCTGACGACAATTTATTAAGTCCAGGATAAGAGATGGTTGGCAGCAGGTTTGTTAGAAAGCAGGAATTAAAATCATTCAAAAATGCCTAACAATTATTCTGAATGTTTCATTCCAAATTCTTTTGTGCCCCTGCATTGCTATTTGTTTCACACAAAAGACCTTCTTTTAAATGTAGAGAACATAATAATCTCCATATCCCAGTTGGCAATACTTATGTCTGAATACAATATCTTAATTGGTCTTCAACTGCTGAAATAATTATGTTTCTGCTGGCATGGTGCACTCCTCTTAGTAAACCCACATGCACGTTAAACAAAAACTTGCTTAAATATTTAGAATAATTTCTTTTTTTGTACAGAATTACTTGTATCAATTGCATGTAAAATATAACTTGATAAGGAACTTTAGAACCATAGCCTACTTAGTTGCAGATCAGAATTTGCTGATCGGATATCAATGACCCGAGTGCTTGAGGCATGCTAGTTTGTAAATTTCATGCTTCAATTCTAAATCATGCATTTTAACTGAGTGAACCACTACCACAAGATTTGTGAAAAATAATATGAACACTCAGAAATTTTATTTTAATTCTGTGCTACAAAATCCTTTTAGGTACTTTGCAGGGACTGTGCTACTCTCTGGTTGTGATTTGTTGTATTGATACATAAAATGTGTATTTGTGTTATGGTATCCACAATACAATGGGAGTCAATGTTACATGTGCTGATACTGGCAATAATTATGACCAGTGATAGTTATTATTTTGACAAAAAATTAATTTAAGCAGTCAATATCTTTTATTAATCACTGGGTAACAATAAGTTTGATCTGAATTTTTTNAAATAACAAAATTGTGATCCTCTCTCACAGGCACACAATCAGAAGCATGATGTTAATATTATAAGTAATATAACAATTAAAATAAAAACACTCCTCATTAGATCAAAATCTTCCATTTTAAATGAATACTTTTTTAAAATATAACACTGTGTTGAAAAAGAGCAGTTTTACACCACCATTTGTTGCCAGTCATTTCTGATTCCAGCTCTGCCTGATGTGCAAAAAGTAGAGAAGACACCGAAACATGTAAGTTGTCTCTCACCAAAATAGTTCAAAAGGAGCATTATACACAAATCCAGTGGCTAAGTGACTGAACTCAATTTTGGTTCAATTCTCACCTCCTGTAAAGGCAACTTTGCCATCTGCCCTGAATATTAGGTTTGCTAGATATGAGTTAAATTGTTGAATAGGTTCAGGAATGCCTCTCATTAACGCTTTGTTTCAATAAAATATAAGAAACTCAGCCCACCCTCACAAAAGGCACCCAAAATACGTCAATCTATGAGGAGTGGCAATGCTGGTGTATCCATAGACATCCACTATTTTATAATTTATACAGTGAAAGGACAGTACAAAAGAAAAATTATAGTACAAAATTGTGTTTTCGGAGCAAAAGTATTGGATTAAAAATGTAAAAATAGCTCAAATGGGAATAAATATTGTTTATGTACATGTACATAAGTTTCAAATATTTTCAAAATGAAACATTTATATTAGGTATTTCCTTACACCAACTGAATGTAAAGACTGTTTTACAATATATTGATCTTTTCAACACACTAAGGAAAATACTTCTCTGAAACTAAAATACTGTATATAAAGATACATCTTTATATTCACAGCCTCACTGAATCGTTTGATTTCATATACAAAAAGCATACATAGGTGCTCCAATCGTGGTAGAATTAATTTACCAAAAAAGGTAAAAATCTTGTTGTTTTTAAAAGGTCAGAAGAACCTCTCAGATTTGTATCCTGAATTAATACAAACCTGGAATTGTGTGCCCTAAAAAGTATAGGATATTATACTTTTATACGTTCGCACATACATTGTTCAATAGAGTTAATTGCTGTGTAATTACACACTTAAAATACACATTTATCTCGTCGATTGAAACAGTTTATTGCAATACATTTGTTGTAATCTCATCTGAATAAATTGAAGCCTCGATCATTGTTCCTGTCCTGTTTATAGCAGTGTGGCTTTCCCAGTGACAAACACACCAGAGGGTAATATATTCTTAAAAATCATCCCAAACTAAATCGTATCTCCTGATGTATCTCCTGATGTATCCCCACACACACACACACACACCACTCCCACTCCCACTCATTAACAAATTGTTGCAATCGATCGGAAAGTAAATCTGCACCAAAACGGATTGAAAAGCGCGTCTCAAACCCCCTGTTTTTGAATGACGGGACTTGCTCTTTTTAGCACTTTTTTTTAAAAAAAAGTATATATCTATATAGATATATATAAACACAGCTCACAGATTGAAATAGAGATTTGGTGGAGGAAACAAATTCACGCACCTTCCTTCTGTGGTTGGGACCGTGTGCGTGGGCTTCAGTTCAGTGTTTTCTTCGACGGTGTTTGTCTCAGGAAACAGGTCTCGGAAGCTCCTGTTCCCCCTCAGCGCTTCCTCTCACCGACACAATGTATCTTTAAAAATAAAGTTCAGAGGGGAAACAACATTAAACATTCCTCACCGGGAGCTTCCATTTCACCTCATCCCCTCCTCTCCTCTCCTCTCTCTGCCTCTTGAGCTCAGGCATTTATTTCCACATCCACTTCTTGTGCCATTGTAAACTTCAGCCACTGCGTTTCCAACCAAGTTTGTTTACCGTATATTTCTATATATATATAATATATATATATATATACACATACACATGTGAGGAAAAAGATTTTTTTTTAACCCCCCCCAAAAATAAAACTTTTGCTCAAATAAACACGTTTCCCCGTCGTAAAAAAAAAGTGTGCGGTGGTGGTGGTGGGGGGGGAGGAGGAGGGGGGGTGGAGGGTGGGGGGGGGTCGTTTCTTAATGATACCAACACCAACGACTTGATTTTTAAAAAAATATTTCGTAGTTGGCGGACAGAAAGTTATGCAAAGAAGCTTGAAAAGAGATACTTCCCCACCTCCCTCCCTCCCTCCCCCCCCAAAAAAATAAAATAAATAAAACCCCCAAACCAAACCAAACACACAAAAAAAACACACACACACACACAGGGCGCGTGTTCTCTTCGGGAGTATGGAAAGATGACATTTGCACACACACACACACACGCACACACGAAAAAAAAAGTTTGAACCTGTTGCGATAGTTTGTGTGTGTGTGTTTTGTTGCAGAAGCTGCCAGCGCTGAGCTTGAACTTGACTTTGTTGTTCTTGAACATGGCGCCGGTTGGAGAGTGAGGAGCGACACACACACACACACACACACAGAGAGAGCGAGCGAGAGAGGGGGGGAGAGAGGGAGAGAAAGAAGAGAGAGTGTGTGTGTGTAGATAGAGAGAGAGAGAGAGAGAGACCCCCCCCCCTCCCCAACCCCTACCAAAAAAAAAACTTTTATTTCTTTTATGTTTCACCCGTACTCCAAGGGCAGAGAGAGAGAGAGAGAGACACACACACACACACAAACTCTCTCACCGCCGAAGGTGAAACGAGAGCTTTCCTACGGAAAAAAAAATATACCCTTCAACGTGCTGCCTCGGTAAGTTGGCGTACTTTCTCTCAATTGTGGCTGCCTTTCTTTCTCATTAATTTTCCCTCCCTCCCTCTTTTTTTTCTGTCTCTCTCTCTCTCTCTCTCTCTCGCTCTGGCAAAATCCGTCCGACTTGAACTTGAACTTGGATTTTTTTTTCCCTTCCCCCTCCCTCCCTCCTTCCCGGGTTATTTTCTCCCTCCACGAAAAATGGCGCCGGTTTGAGGGGTGGTTGGTGGTTGGTGTGGGAAGAGAGAGAGAGAGAGAGAGACAGCTCTCAGCTCCACAAGCAGATCAGAGGCAGGTTCCCCCCCCCACCACCCTTTTTAAAAAAAATTAAAACGCAGTGTTTTCTCTCTCTCTGTCTGTCTGAACACTCAAGAATTCTGTTAAAATATATATAAAAAAAATTTTTTCTGGGGGGGTGGGAACTGGTTCCCATTTGATGTCGCAATAAAAGTATTTTGCAAATTTCTGTCTTTTTTGCTAAAACTTGTGTAAATGCCTGACCTTGTAGTGAGAAAAGGCAGTGATTGTTTGACTCCCCACCACCACCCCTTCCGTCCTTCCTTTTTTTTGGGGGGGGGGAGCAGTGTAATATCGCCGATGTGTTGTGCCCGCATTTGTGGCTCTTAAACGTAAACTTGACTTGTCCCTGTCGCTCTCTCTCTCGTTTTTTTTCTGGGGAGAGAGAGAGAAACTGTGTGTGTGTGTGGGGGGTTTCTCCCAAAGATAATTATTTCCCAAACTTTTATTCAAGTGGTTGTTGGCAATCTGCAGTTCCCGGGAGAGGGGGGAGGAGGAGAGAGAGAGGGGGGGGGGGACGGAGCTGAACACGGCGCCATTTTGTGATTTCAAGTCTCTTCTTTGTCCGGTTCTTGCTCACCTGAGAAGCGGAAACGGATGGAACCGCTTTTGGCCCCGTCCCCACCGCGGACCCCGCCAATAGCAGGCACGGGCTCAGCAACGTCAGCACAGCACAGGCTCCCCACTCACTGTTTGAAACACTGCATTGCACAGAGGACACAGGCGCACTTGAGCACTGCATACAGTGAGTGTTGCAGTGCAGGGCACAGCACACTGAGCACTGCATACAGTGAATGCTGCAGGGCATAGCATGTTGAGCACTACATACGTGAATGTTGTGTTGACACACTGAGCACTGCATACAGTGAGTGTTTTTATTGTGTTGACACACTGAGCACTGCATATAGTGAATGTTGTGTTGTGTAAACACACTGAGCACTGCATACAGTGAGTGTTTTTATTGTGTTGACACACTGAGCACTGCATACAGTGAATGTTGTGTTGTGTTGACACACTGAGCACTGCATACAGTGAGTGTTTTTATTGTGTTGACACACTGAGCACAGCATACAGTGAATGTTGTGTTGTGTAAACACACTGAGCACTGCATACAGCAATGCAGGGCAAAGACACACAGCACTGTATGCAGTGAGGTTTACACACAGGGCAACAGCACACTGAGTATTTCTCACGACACATAGATTGCTTCAAACGGAGCACACGCACACTGAGTACTGCAACAATAGGATATATCAAGACAGAAGAACACGATTTAGGTTTAATAGTTGTAAAGGACAATTTCAGGATCGATATCAGTAAGTTTTTCTTAACCTAGAGGCTAATCAATACCTGTAACAGGTTATTAGGAAAGGTGGTTGAGGCCAGGACAATAGATTTATTTTTTTAAAAACTTGATGCTGTGTTGGGGGGAGGGAGAAATCGTAAGACTGCGAGGCCTTCTTCATCCAAACTAATCTTGTGATTTAGAGGGGTATGAGTACAAAAATCAGCATTGGCAGGCATAGAGGACAGAGAGTGAACAACACAGAAAGAATCAACTTGCATTTTTATTGTGCCCATCACATCCAAACATCTCAACACTTTTGTAAATAATTATTAGTGTAGTGGCTATGTTTGCAAGCTTTAACTAACATGCCCCTGTAAATTGCCATGAGCTGAATGACCATTTAATCCCGAGGTCTGTTGGCAAATTCACTGGGAAGATACTTCCTTCTCTTTTTAAATAGTGTAATCTGATCTGTAAAGTGGACCTGAAAATGTGCAACTGGAATCTCTCCTTAGCATCCCAGAGCGCTCGACAGTGGTAGAGAGTGATGCTGAGCCGTGAGATGGTGACCCCAGGCACGGCCAAATAGGAAGGACTGCAAGTGTGACCTGACAACGGGGAAGGAGGGGGCAAGGTGGGGGGATAGAGGAAGAGTATTCCAGAGGTTTGAGGCATGAAGGCTGAAAGTGCGGCCATCAATGGTGGAACGGAGGGCACGAGGGACAAGCAAGAGGCTGGAGCCAGTTGAGTGGAGGTAGTGGAGTAAGTTAGGTTGGAGGGTTAGGGAGGTGCCAGGGCATGAAGGGATTTGTAGACAAGGGTGAGGATTTTGAAATTCAGAGGTAGGGAGCAAGTGGAGCCTGGCTGGAGCTGGTGTGATGGGGGTGTGAAGTTTAATGTGGGTGAGTGTGCAGTCAATAGAGTTTTTGATTAGGTTGATGTTGTGGATAGAGGTGCTGGGGAGACCGGCGAGAAGGGCATTTGAGTAGTCGAGGCGGGAGCTGACGAATGTTTCAGCTGCGTTTGGTACAATATTTTAACATGAGAGGAAAGGGTGCTGCCGAATGAGTCAAACTGAATAACATTGCAGGAACAGAGAGAGAGAGAGAGAGAGTCACATTTTCATCATTCTAAACAGACAACATTCGTGCAGAAGGGTGATTTCCAAATGCACACTATTTGATTCGAGAGTTTCAGTTTCAGATAAACAACTCCACATTGTAGAGAAGACCACACAACGTATGAATAACGGCATACGTTAGGGGGAAGACTAAATGCATTAAAAGGAACTGGCTTCTAAATTAAGACTGAATTCAAGGATTGTCAAATTATGCAAAATCTTAATTTTTAAAACAAGATCTTACAGGCTAAAACACGGTGGGATGTCGAGCCTCTGGACTCCCACACCCCGTTTTTGCCACTACTCGTTGAATGCTGTGGTGCCCTTTTCTTACTAAAGTGTGCACACTGAAACATTGTTTTAGATGAATGGCATTCTATAAATGCAAGTTGTTCCACTTCTTACTCCCGTCTTATATTTATTTTTCCTTTATCTGCTTCAGTCATTTAGCAGCTTTTTGCAGTATTTCACAATTTGTTCTGCTGGATTTAGTTTACAGTATACTTGAACTGGTTCTAAACTAGCCTGAGGTGGCTTGTCGGCTGGAATCTCACTCGTTTACATATGGTGCTGGAATCCAAGGCACCAGCAACATGAACACAATTTACGGCCATCGTCTCTGAACTAGGATCTTAACTATATCTGGGAAAGCTCGTTCCGTATGGCCGTCAGCAATGAAAGCACATTGATGAGCTGTCAGGCGAGCATCTGCCCCATTCTTAAACCAGAGAAACATGGCTCTACACGAGTGGTGAAAGTTAAAGATCCCAGACACGATCTGAATAGCGAAAGAAGTTCCTCGGGGTATTCTGGCCAATAATACTACAGGTGAATTGATCATTCCCTTCATTGCTGTTTGTAGGACCTTGCTAGCGCATTGATCTCTCATTTGCCTACAACAATTACTGCACTTGACAGTAATTATCTGCGAAGGCTTTTTAGAGCTATGGACCTGATAAGATGCTTCACAATTCGTTTTGTTTTCAAGTCTATGAAGGAGCTTTTCCAGCGAAATCCTGGCAATGCTCAACTGAAGGTCACACCTCATTAGCTAAAACACTTAATACGTCTACAATTCTTCCTGTTTCACGGATGGGAACTATTTTAGCTCCCTTTTTTGCGTCATCTGCAAATGCAAATGCTATTTCTAAAAAAAAAGCAAAATTGCGAATTGCAAGTCTGAACTGCGGTGCGATTATTATGCAGTTGCTTTACTTTGTTCTTGACGCACGGACAGAATTAGAAAGCTGTCTTAGAATTTGTTTTAAATTATCTCAACACATGTTTCCACGTAGCCTGTTCACGGTGCATTATTTGTTGTAAGTAACTTTCAAGTCCGCTGCAGGTGTGGAAAGGGGAAGCCAGCAATCCTAATTTGTTGTGAGGAGCACTGTTCCCAGACACCACTGCTTATACAATACTGCAGAGTGCCCAGAGAGCACCTTTGTATAGTCACTCCAGTTAAACCGTTGTCAATCATGCACACCTTTTATTTCTGCTCTATCTGGTCTGGTGCACGAAATTATTTCACCTTGCGAGACGACACAGAGCCGAGGAGTGCAGTGGGCGGTTTAATCGTGGCTTTAATTATACGATCCTCATTCAAAAATCAGCAAACACCGAGAAAGTAGGCGTATTTTTCAAGTCAGCAACGGGGTTTGTATTAGAAAACTGCAATTGTAAAGGAAGGACTGGAATGGTCGTTAGATGCAGAAAATGCGGTAAGGTCGAAAGAAATTCACAACGGCTCCTAAACGTGCCACAATAAATCGGGATTGCACAATCTGTAAATATCTTTGTTCGTACCTCAGATTGCGCCAAGCATCGAGGAATGTATTCGGTGCAAACGCTCTGCTCGTGTCACGAAACCACTTCACCTGAGTGTCAATGTAGAGTGTTAGGGTTTAATTCCGCAAAAACAGGGCCCCGCAAAACCAGCCAAATGAACCCAACAGAAGCTGCTCCCGAGAAAAAAACAATCGGATTTTTTTTTAAAAAAAACGAATTTTGGTCCTTTAAAATATATTTTCGCAATCCAGGTCTTCGCATTCAAATCGGATGATCTGCCTGTAATATTACTACAGTAGTTTACAGGCGGTGCTTTTCGCCGGGGCGCCGGGATGTATATTAGAGATGTCGCTGCATGTTTTACATCACGGATTAGCTCTGCGGAAAAATAAACGTGCACGTTGTTTTATTTGGGCGCCTCTGTTATTCCCGCACTTGCCACTAAGTGAAGTGAAATTCACTGCTCGCTCACTGGCAATCGGGTATCTCAATGTACCTGAATTTATCCACAGACCCAGGATCAGTCCTTATCGTTTCTAAAAAAACTGAAGTAAAAAAAAGTTGTCCAAAAATCGAAAAAGCTAATAGCAAATCGGGCCTCGGCGGCTGCAAAAATATGTCCCACAGTTTAATTACATTTAAATACCGTGAAACATGATGTAATCAGAGTTCTCGAAAGTGGTGTCATTTTATAATATTAAAATAACATTGAACACGATCTTCGAGAAGTGGTCAGTGTTATTTTAATATTATAAAATGGCACCACAGCAGCACAAATAACATCTTTGCACGGGATAATGCTGCTGTTAGATGCAATTGTGTCAACACGTGTGCTATTGAGTAATTTGCCTTCAACAATAATATTTAAAGTTATATCACCTGGTAGAAAGTTCAAAGGTTTTGATCCCTAATGAAACGTTAACTTCTCAATTCCAACAAAAAAATCTATGAAAATTAAAATGCTGAGGTGACAGGAGGAGCTGTACCGCAGAATCATAACTTTCCTTTGCTTTTAAATTCGTACATCTCCCCCCCCCCCCCCCCCCCCCCCCCCCCACCGCCACACCCTTTACAAAACGCAGGTTGAGTTAATACACAAAGTGCACAGGGTTTGCGGCGCAGTTTCGATGTAATGCAATTCCCAAGGTATTTCAAATAACAAGGCTGCTCCAGGCACAGGCTGAAGCCGTCAGCTCGCCTTGCAGCAGGGACCCGACTTTTCCAAACATTTGAGGCTGTTTTTTTTTATTGGAGTTACCAGGGCAGGTGGTTGGGGATCGGGGTCACTACTCGCTGTTTCTTGTCGAGTGACAAGAGCCGCGCGGATTAGGTGCAATCGTGGATTGAAAGCAAAACTGCGGTGCTTTCAATCTCGACAGAAACCCGTTCGGGCAAACACTAGGGTTACCGCCTCTCTCCCCACACACCTGCTTCGTTTGCGGCAATTTGTCACTGTATAGATTTTTTTTAACAAAAAGTTTTGAAACATTATTAAAAGCAAATCCGCGATCTAACCGCGGTACTTTGAAATTCCTAACGCCTTTCGGGACCTTTAGCAATTTTCGATCTTGTGAAGTTCAAACTTGCGAATCTACCCTTGTGGTTCTTTGCCCACAATTTTCGGGTGGGGGGGGGGGGGGTGGTGCTTGGCGATGGGTGAGATCCAAGGATTGATCAACAGAGCAGACCCCCCCCCAAAAAAACTGTCACTAATAGTGCACTCGTAGGATCATGTGAATGAGAAGAATTGGGGTTTGTATGGCTCCCAAAAGATCAAAAGGCCTCAAAAGTGTATCTGTCACGTGTAGTGACTGTTCCACAGCAGAAGGAGGCAATCCGCCCTCTGCTGCCGCCATCTACTCCACTGGAGTAAACTCTTCTCACCACCTCCTCTGCCCCCCATTAGATAATGCTCCCAATACCTGCCGCCTGTTCCAATAAATTGGTGTGATGTAGGGACCATCTGATTAGAAGTTTGAAGAGAAAGAACAGGAAATTATTGCTGGATTGTTTCACTGCAGTGTAGGAGCTAGCCTAGAATTTGTTCTGGAGCCCGAATACCACCCTATGCTGTAATGTCTACGGTTTTAGTAAATGTTGGCAATGCTGCAGTAAAAATATCAAACATGAGTTTACCCTGTCACACCACATCTCGTATGAGTGCAACATGAAAATCCATTTTGCATTCACACAAGGTGCACCTAAGATGCAACTGCGCCATGAAAATAAAGACAAACAAGCAAGCCGTGAAAGATAAAGCAACCCACCCCCAAAGTCAGGTCCCAAAGCACAGCCCAGAGCTCAGAGATGCTACTTGCATTCACACAGGGCCTTCATGCGAGTAGCATCTCAGGGGGCTTAAGACATATGTTCACATTTTTTGTAAAAAGCCCCTACTCTCCACCATCTCATCTTGGACCAAAACAAACATCGTGAGACCCACCGAAACCTGCTCAGCCCTGGTGACATTTTCCCTATCCCTAAGCCTACCCCACATGTTTGCACCTTTCACCATAGCCCAACAGCCAACCATGGTGGAGGCGGCGGCATGGTTCTCATCCTCCAAGTCCCAACTTGGCCTATACCTTCCTCCTCTGGTACTTTCTCCTCACTTGAACATCTCAAAAAAAAACTAAGGGGTAAACTAATTGAGAATTATTTTTAATCTCTGTATATAAATGTATAAATATAAATGTATATAAATGTATAAATAATTTATATATAAATAATGTATTCATATATAAATATATAAATAATTTATATATAAATGTAAAGTTAAATAATCATTCCGCAAATCACTCTTGATTAAGGAATGTATTCTCCCGAAAATGGTAAGCCTCTTCAGTAACAGTTTTATTTCAGGGAGAGGGGATTTCTTTTCACTTTTGCTTTATTTTTTTCCGCTTATTTACTACTTGCCACTCTAATCTCTAACCTGGCTGCTTCTTTTCCTTTCGCTGCTGAGAATTTCGTTGCGAATGATGTTGCTTTACTGAGAGGTGTGGCAATTAATTAGTTAATGCCAAAAAATTCGTAAAGGTCAACTAGAATCATGTAATTTCACAGTGAAGCGCGAGTTTATTTTTGTTTACAAAAAAAATCTGTCTCAGACTGTGTTGAAGAACAAAGAAAGACCGACAAAAAGATCATCACAGCCAAAAGGAGCAGTACGTGTGTGTGTGTGTGTGTGTGTGCGCAGCAAATGAGGTGATGATCTGAGAGAAGCACGTACACTGTGGAACTATTCATTCTCCTGATTATTGTTGGCACGACGCAAAGTACCAAAACATCGACTGGTGTTGTCATTAAAAATAAATGTGTTTTTAAAATTAACATCTGAATAAAAAACTGTAAAGAGGCCCCAAAGAAAGTTTCCGTGTGGAATGAGCGGATCAAGTGCGCATAACCTCTGTACTGTCTGTCTACCCAGAGGTGTGCAACAGACCGCTTACAGTTCTAAACTCAGTGATCCCAATATGCACATATATTTTTTAAAAAGTGGTTTACACTGCTAAAACCCACGGTTTAAAGAAAATCAGCGATTACTGCACCGGGGATAATTTCGAGCAAGAACTATGGGGGGTTGGGGGGTGGGGGGTAAACATCCCAAAAATATGCACACGCCACCTTTGATATTGCTATCTGATGTTAACTTCATATAATAGTGCACAAACCAGGGTGCCAGTCACAGCGCGAGTTTTGAAGCTGTAATTAACACCGTAAATACAAGATGAAACCATCTACGTGAGTTTGCAGCCAGTGTTCCAGAATCATTAGATTGCTGCAAGAGGCAATGGCAGCGTCTGAGGTCAACCTCGCTAACCTGTTTTCCGTGGGGAGGGGAAGGGGACTGTCGTATTTGGAAAACAGTTATGTTCAGTTAGGAGTTTCTCAAGAAGAGCAATCCTAGATGCAGCGTTTCATATGTTTAAATTGCTCTCATTTTAGTTCTTACACGTTTTCATTGATGGATTACAGAAATTAAAAATAATTCCCAATTAGTTTACCCCTTAGTTTGTTTTTCGGGGGGGGGGGGGGGGGGCAGGATAAACGGACATTCCAACTTATTGCAATTTCCGAAAATCACACGGCCTGTGTGTCCCACAGATGTGTAAATTATATGTGCACCTATCTTCCACACGCGGACTCGTGCTCACTTTCTTGTGAACAAATCTTACATCAGAAAGCAAGTCCTACACGCGATATTTCCACCATTGACATTCCTGCCTCGGCTCCCAGCTGAAACCTTCGCTTAAGGTCCTGCTCTGTCCATAAAATTTCCCATTGCCCGTCTCGATCTCTTCTTTTGCATTCCAGCCGTGTTCCTCTGCTGTGGCCGGACAGCCTCCAGCACTGACCTCAGCCAATTCAAAGCTGCATCAAAACTAAGAGGGTTTATATTTCCTTTATAAATCAGGATTTAATTTTTTTTGACAACAGTTTAATCCTAAACAATTTAATTCCAAATGAGAATATTTACCTGTATTGCCCAGTTCAATAAAGAAAGAAAAAAAAGAAAAAGAAAGCAAGACCAAATAATTAAGACTGCAAAGTTTTTTAACTTTTTTTGCTTGTTTTGTAACCTAGAAGTCCCAGGCTTTTTCCTATGTCTCACATCAATTTATTTTAAAAAAACTGGAAAGTGGAAAGATTTTCAATAAATTTAGACTAAAATATTCAGTAATACTGTATAATATTACATTTTTAAAGACTTTTTAGCAACTTAATTTTTTTGAGTAAATTACTTTAAATGGAACGACAATGAGCTCCATTCTCAATTGGATCTGAAATAATTGTGTAAATTATTAGTTTACTTTTTTTGCAATTTATCCTAATGTAAATATTCTAGATGTGAATTTTCATTTTTGTTTCTGATCCCAGGGATAATATTTAAAAGCCCCCCCTTCCCCCCGCCCGTTTTTTTGTACTAAAAAGCTAACATTTTGCAAGGTAGCGATTTCGATTCCATCACAGAATCATGTGCTGCCAAGAACAGCTTGTAACACGGGGAATGTGAATGCGATTCTCGTAAACTGTGCAAATTGAAGCCTTTGCAGTGAAAGTTTATAAAGATTTAAAGAAAATTAAAACACGCTAAGAAAAACGTAATCAACACGTGAGTAATTTGAAATTTGCACCATTAGATGTAAAGATTGTTAGTGTCAAATGATCTACGTGTTTATGAAAAACCTCACAGTAATTTAGTTTTAAAACGAAACCAGTGTGTTTCTAAAGTCGGGGATTTGCTATCCTCAGGGTTATGCGAGGACAGGCCAGAGCTGAGAGGATGTGTCATATCATCTCATGTTAAATTTTTGCCTTTGTTTACAGGCGAGAGATAAAATGCTATTAATAGCTGGGCCAGTCACATTTGTTGGCAAAAGGGGAGAAAAAACCGTATCTCTGCCGCCCTTTCCTCCGGTGCACCCCTAACATCCAGGATAACACAATGCAGGATAATCTTGTACCCAGATTGTGGCAAATAAACTCAAAATAAGACATGATTTTTTCCTCCCCCCAAAAAAACAAAGTGTTAAGAGTATTTAAGTTACAGTGTATCTTACTTTAAAAGTTGGCATTGAATTTGGTGTTTTGTAAGTTATAGATACAGTTTCCACATGTTACACTGTCCGTGAAAACATTGAAAAACGCCATTTTCCCTTGTGTCTAGGAAATACATTGTACATTGGTTCAGTGTGTGTAATATTTTGATTTCTATCCCTGTAAACACTACTGTTTTCACAGAAATTAAAACATTAAATGTCAATAGTTGACAATTTTAAGCACCGACACAGTTAAAGATCATTATACTATCTTTATATAACTATTATCATGTGTGAAATTTATGTATATGTATGCTTTGTCTGTGTACACATTTAATAAATCGATATTTTTAATTTAATAGTTGTTTTCTGTTTCACTTCAGACGAGTTCAGGCAGCGATTCTGCTCGGTTGCAGATCCTATTTTGCAACTAATCCGGGTTACACTGAAATAGTTTCTGCTATAGTTCTGGAGGCTCAAAGAAAAAGCCGAGTTTTGGAGCAAAGGTTCCCCTCCCACAACGACCACAAAACTGAACTGTTGAAATATTGATGTCGTACTTTGGTTCGTCATATTATTATATTGAAGATGGAACAGCGAATGATTCCAGCAGAGTCCTGTATTCACTGTAGTCTCTTTACAACGAAACAATTCGAGCAAAGATTCCCAATAACCTGTGCAAACTCTGAGTCAGTAAAATTCTGGTGATGAATGTTGCCTTTGTCAGTGAAATGTAGTTTTTTTTAAAAAAAACGACTGCAACTTTCTTCTAATATTAGTTCAGGTACACGTAGTAACACAACGAAGATGAATTAAGCGAACGCTTAACCAAGGAGTCCGAAATACACCTCAATGTCAAACGCAGCGCTTCTCCACATTACACACACATAGTGATTATTTATATGGTAAAATAATGTTAAACTGTTGCACCAGTCCAGTTCGCGTTTAGAGTTATGTTGTATGTAACAACTGGACGAATTCTATTTAAAGGTAACATTATTGAATTAAAACAAATATATTTTGTCCCGAATGATTCTCTAGTTTGCTCTATTTGTAACAATGAATTTAATATTTTTAAGAACATTTTAAAAATACAGTTTAGTTTAAGTGCGTTCTTACAGTCAGTCCTACACGTGCACCTAACTTGTCAAAAGAAGCATAGATTTTTTTAAAAAGGGGGGGGGGGGGGGATGGGGGCTGGAGACAACTAGAAATACACAAATATTTTTTCAAATTGAACGATAAAATGCTTTTAAACATTATATTAATATTTAATTATAGCACATCAACTTTTAATTCTGTTACAAGAGATAACTACTACACACAATGTGATTGCAGCACTGTTAAGTGTTAAAATAAATTGTGGCATTGCAAATATTAATTAAGAAAGAGGTGCTTTGGTAATATCATACGACTGTAGTATCTTTGAATGGAATAACGGGAGCCTGCGGGGTTTTCTGAGTCAAAAGCTTCATTGGTCGTGGTGGCTCTGCACTTGGTTTCTCCGAGGGTTCGGATGCATTAGGAATTAATATGTGTCTCAAACTTTTAAAATGTCTTCCGATCAGTTTAGTGAACAAACAGTAAAGAGGAATTGGAAAGAAAAGCTGCCCGATTTGGTGAAAAATTGGAGCAGACACAGGCTGCGTTTTCCACCTTTACATTTAAAGTATTACACTTCGTTTCTATCAGTTTATTCTAAAGTGCGACGGTGGACTGCAATAAAAATACGTCCACGTAGGAGCTAAAGCAAAACCCACACATAACTGCTAAGCAAAGGTTTGTATTACTGTGAGCTATAGAACGATGCAGGAAAAGTGATTTTTTTTAAAAAAAAGGAAGTCTGTGGTGTTTTTCTACAGAACTGCGAGAGTAGGAATTGCCGTGGGACTTTTTCAGCTGCTGCAAATCATGGAAACAGAAGTAATATAAAATTATTTGAACAATCACATTGTCCTTTCTGCAAGAAATAAAGTTAATGGCAAGCATCGGTTCTCACAACTGTCAGTTTTCACCAGTTTAACGGGTAATCTCATTGCACAGAGCAAAATACCAGAAGGTTCCTCGTTGAAGCAGTTTAGAGTGTGTGTGGGGGGTTAGAGAATAGCAGGGAGAGGAAGGGATTTGCTTTTTAAGAGTTTTGGTTGGGCAGGTACTGCAGTACCGGTATTAATTGATACGAAATTAAGCAGTACAGGACTCTTATTGTCAGAATTGTTAAAAGCAGAGGATTGAGTTGAAAAAAGCACATACCTGTGCGGTGAGAAGTGCACACAGGCCGCTCTTTGCGAGGAACTGATTTCACCGTCACCTGTCTTCAATCTCCATCACCTGTCTCCAATAACCGCCAGGCTCCAGCTCCAGAAGGGGGTCAAAGAGAAGAATTTTCGGTGACTTGTTAAAACTCATGTAAATTTACAACTGAAACACAATGTTGCATTCCTATTTACAATCTGTTCGACCAGGCCTTAAATATTCAGTGGCACATTTGCAGCAGATTTATTAATTTTGGTTGCATTGCCTAAAACCGAGCGAGAGAACAAGGAAAGGGAGATTTTTTAAATTTTATGTCCTTCAATTCATTAGTTTTGATATGCTTATCACTCCAACAATAATATGAAATGTTAAGGGATTGTTGTAGTCTACACACACACACAATATTTTCTTTAATGCTAATTCTCCAACTAACCCACTATGTTGAAGCAATTGATCAGTGGATGTCTGACTAATGAAGGGATTGTAAAATTAACACGTTGTAAATGTGGCTTATAATATTGCATTGTATATAGTTATTAAAATCGGAATACATAATAAACAAAAGTCCAACACTGATCGTATTAAAATGCAATTGAAACCAGGCCGAATACTTCGTTTATGAAAACTACATTTCAGTATTTGACAATCGTTCCCTATCACAGCTTTATTAACCATAAAAAGTTGCCTATTATTGTCAAAAGAAAGAGGCATAGCTTGTTATTACTGAGCTATTTCGGGGTTCGAATAGTTCAGTATTTCCGAAAAGTGAACTTCTGTCTTTTTTAAAAAAAATAGGTGAGCAATTGTCATTTACCCAGAAGAAACAGGAGCAAAACTATTGATAAAAAATTGTAACATAGAAAAGAAAAGAAACTGCTGAATTATCTCAATGTTGTTAATTTATGTTCAATTATAGCTGCAAAAAGCAAATCGTTTTATCTAATTTCCTGTAAAGTATTCAACGCCATTTTTAATCACATTTCCTCCATTTGACGAACGTCGGCGAGATGCACTGAGACGATTTTATAATCCAAACAGAATCCTGGTTTTGTACGCAACGACAAATATGTGTCTAATAACTGGAACAGACTGTGCGGACGGAAACAATATTTTGAAAATAAATGTTAAAAAGTTTTTTTTTAACAGTTTCAAAGCGCGTAGACAAAATAGTTTGCAGACTGCATTGGGTATTACAGTAGAAACGTTTTGTGAGAAGTTTAGATTTTCTTTGAACAGGAATACGAAAGTGAGGGGGTGGTGGTGGTGGGGGGGGTGAAAAAAACAAAAATTACTTTGTCAAACAAAATAACGTGTGCAAAATAAACCAAGTGTGTGCATTTCCTTGATCTGTTCCCTTTTAGAAGACTGGAAGCGTTTCGGAGGGTGAACAAAACCACAAACGCATCGCAAATAAACGTATCCATTTGCAGTAAAATATCACCAGTTTCTTATTTGTTGTGCAACTCAATTCGGCTGCGGGAGGTGACACCATTATCGTAATTCATCCTTTGCACACGCGACGGGACAACGGCGAGGGACCGCGAACCTCTTACGTTTAATGAATGCAACAAGAATAGTTGCAAACCGACGACGGTCGGTCGGCGAAATCGCCTCGGAATCGAGCGAAACGAAAGCAGCTCAAAGCGCCGGGTTTCAAGAGGGTTCGCAATGGGAATTCTAAACCGCGCACAAGTCGGTATTCTGTCTGCACAGAGGAAGGAAACACATTCGGGGGCCATTGAATTGCAAATGTCAGGGGTTGGGGGGGGGGTGGTGGGGGGGGGGCGAGGATTCACTGAACACATCGACATGACCATCGCTCGGCCAATGCGCGACCCCGGGCGGCGCGAGCACCACCGCCCCCACACACACACACACACAGCACCAGCCCGGGGGGAGGGGGAGGGGCGACTCCGCGCGCCCACCAATCGCAGGTCAGCTTTGCCGCTCACGTGGTGCTGTGGGGAACGTTGACCCGGCGCGGGGACGTCTGGCAGCGTTCGCGGCGACGTCACGTGCCGCGCTCGCCCGAGTCTCGCCGCCGCTTACAGCACGTGCTCACACTCATGGCCAACGCGCACACACACACACACACACACACGCGCGCGCGCGGCCCTGCGCATTGCTTCCCTTTTTCTTAACATATATTTTACGCTCAAAGCACTGATTCCGCTGATCTGTTCAGGGGAGGGTCGGGAGGGGAGGGTCGGGGTTGGGAGGGGGGGATCTGTCGACCTCTCCCGGCAGTTCCTGATCAAGTGCTCCCGCAGCTGAGCGTCAGCGCGGTGCTGCCCCGGGGCCGCCACTGACGGGGCACTGGGTTTCTCTCCCGTTTGCATTTCCTTTTTTTTTCGCGCGTGTGTTTTGTCTGCGGCCGTAATGTACAATTTATCGGCACAGGAACAGTCGTTGTCTTCGTAAAAGTCAAGTCTTCCAAATGTTTTTTTATTAAAGCAAAACGATCCTATTTGGCGACCTCTCCAGTGTGGCACTGAAGTCATGTTCCTCAGGGCCTCAATTCCGAGGACTGTTAACCCTATGTGACCACCGAACTATAATGTAATATTAAATGACATATCATTATTGATATTCTGCCCCACCGATTTCAGTTTAACTGTCAAAATCATTGATTTTGCACCATGCGAATATATAAGCAACTATCGATCAACTGTACACATAAATAATAATAATAATCCTTGCATTTGATATAGCTCTTTTCACGTCTTCTCGACATCTCAAAAGTGCTTCACAGAATATTCTGTAAAGTGAATTGACTGTATATTTGTGGGCGAAACGCGGCAGCTAATTGCGCACAGCAGTGTCACACAAACAGTCGTGGATTGAAAATGGCCAATTTATTACTGTTTTGTTTTTTGGAGGGATTATTATTAGGTGTGTGGTGTGAGGAAACTTGCCCAGGGCTTCAAATAGATCTATAAACTCCAGAAATATAGTATTTTTTGAAAATCCCACAATACGCCAGCCTATCCAATACATTTTTTTTTAATTTTTATAACTTTTTTTCCTCTCTGCTTTGATTAATAATTGAAACAACGTTTTCATAATGTATGAATCAGTCAGGCTGCTGCTAAAATTTGCTTCATCTTTTCACATTGAAGATGACTTTTGCAGACAGGGTGTACTGCTGCAGGCTGTCCAGTACAAGCCAGAAGTAAAACCATAGTTTTTAAAAAAATCATTAAACAAAACATGTTATTTTTCTCAACATGTCTACACTCAGCCCTCTAAGTCAACTTCACTTACCCGATTATTAAACCCCCATTTGTCACCGAATAAAATGCATTACTTATGAATATGGTGAAAGATGTAGACCATTGTTACTTATAATTAATAATCCTTGCATTTGATATAGTGCCTTATCACGTCTTTGAAATGTCTCAATATACTTATGATACATTAGAAAGTGTGCAATTACAGCATACATTCTGACACAATGTGGTTATTCAGAGTTAGTGGCCATAATATGCAAAATTGTCATACAGTGGCTGCTTTGCATTCTCTACCTGGTGTCTTATTTCAGTAATCAATACCTTCCCACATTCATTAACAAGCCACACAGGATTTGATGCTGTCTTCATTAAACAATCCAAACACATGTTGATTTTCACTTCCTCATTCCTTGACTGTACAACCTGGGAGTTTTTGTTCAGTAGTTTTCCTTCCAAATGGTTAATGTGCTGCAACTTCACTTCAATTCTTATGCTGCCATTGATTCGACTTCATGACATGAAGCTAGGTTTAGCATTGTCAACAACTTATTCAACTCAACAACTCCTAGTTGATTTTGTTTTATCAACTACTAAAAATAAGAAGGGAGTTTACTAGGTGTCCTGAACAACTCTCTCCCAGATAAAATTGGTTATTCACTTCATGGCTCTATGTGATTTGCAAACATAGTTGAAAAGACAAAGGAAGTATAGGGAAAGAGAATCAGAGGGAGAAAGGGTTGGCACCTCACCACTTCTGCACACCTCCAAGTATCTGAACAAAGAGCAACACTGGTGGAGGCCTGGGAGCAGGATCTACCCAGATCTGCATTGGAAGGAAGACAGGGATATATCAGACTCACACATGAGGTGGCTCCTTGTAGAAAACATCAAAGGCTACTAGTGGAACTATACTGTGGCCAGTAAGCACCAGGTGACAATAGGTGAGATAAAATATTACACAGGTGAACACAGTCACCCACAAAAAATAAATTGTATAGCTACAGTACTTGCTGTTTCTTACATGTATCAGAGTCTGGATACGGTTTGAAGAGAGCTTTCAAAAGAAGTGGAAATAGCACAGTGATTATGTGAATACTAGAGCCTAATCATTGACATATTGCAATCAGTCACACCACTGCTGTCACTGGTCCCTTGCTGAAAGCACTGATCTTGGTGCAGCACACCAGTGTTAATTTCAAGCACTGATGAGCTTAAGTTGAATACAAGTGTGTGCAATCTGTCACTGAATGATGCTTAAGCATCAAGTTTAAAACTGAAGCATGCCCAGCTCTACTTCTCTCCTCCCATCTTGGTTTGCATATCACACATGGAATATGTCCACACAAAGCACCAAGTCAATGAACCAAATCTCAGACAAAGTAGGTGCATTCCCAGTTCTACTTGTTCATTACAATTCTGCACAGCCTCAGGTTACTTTTACGGGATGATTCATTTAAATATAGATTGATTTTTATGGCAATAGTTAACTCACAATCAGGTCCATATCAGAGGTTCAATGCAGAATATGTGCAGATCGATTACTATTGGGAATTTTTTTTGTTTCTCATCTACAAACACAGAACAAATTGTTGAGTTGGCAGCACACAAAATGCAAGAATCGCTCTGAAAGGAAAGTTTGCAGCTGCCAAAATAGGTTAATTCGTCCCACATCATTGTGCAATTCCTGTGACAATTATTGGGAGAGGGAGAAAGAGGATGAAAAAGCTACAGAGTAAACCAGCTGAGGCATGCAACAGAAAATGTTAGGTATTAGGAACCCGAGCAACCGTGATGGAGATTAACGTGAACTGGGAAAATTGATGGTTTAAGTAATCCTAGAATACAATAAGCATTAATTAATGTGCACATCCTCACCTTCATATATAATTATTTGCTGCATTCAACTGCAACTCAGTATGGGAATAGCTACCTGCTCACAATACAGCTGCAGTTCTATCATAATCTTTGCATGGGGATCAGTTTTGGGTTTCTGTTAGCAAGTTTCAAACACACATCTCTTTAATTAACTATCACCCTTAGGGAACAGAACTAATTCTGTTCATATCCAATGTGAAACGATCGGGTAATTAAAGGTTATAATAACTTTATTTTAAATGGACTGGGTGCAGTTCCCTCACCAATCTATCACCACTGTTTTTACACAACTTCCACAATCTGAGTCAATGGAAAGTTACTTTATTTATTCCCCTCCCCTGGTGAAAGGCATTGGTCATACTGTGGCAAAACTCCACAGATGCTGGCAGTCCTTTGGTTTAGCAGCTTCGGCAGCCATTCTCCTGTATGAGCTCAGACAGTAAATGTTGGCAGTCTATGAACACTGGAGGCACCAGGCCCATTCTTGTCTTCATC